ATACCGCCTACGCACCGACGGACCGAAGAGATCCGACTATTCCGGCTAGTTCCATTTCACTGTGGCACAGCTCGCGTTACAAAACCTTGATTTTGACCATTGCGCGAAAAAGGTACATCTCGGTGCCTTCCAGAGGCAGCTGCGACCCCGCCGAGTGGACGGTAACGCACAGCAGGTGGCGCGGTGCGTTACCGTCCACTCCGCTGGGTCGCAGCTGCCTCTGCGCGTCCTGGGGATGTACCTTTGTCGCGCGCCGGAGACGACTCGACGCCGCTGAGATCGGAGATCAAGCTCTGACAGGTCGCACGTCGCTCCTTTGACGCCGACGTGACTCACCCGTGCAGATCACATCAGGACACGGTCTCGACGCGCTCGGTACGACGCCTGCGACCCGTCTCGGGTCAGGTGGCACGACGCTCATCGCGCCTACCAGCGCTGCCGTGCAGGTTGCCACGACGAGGTCGAGCACGCTTCTATACGCTCGCCGAGCCTTCCTTTCCATCCCATTTGGCAGCCTGGGAACGGTGGCGGTCAGAGGCAAAGCATACGAGGGGTGGTGGAACCACATGTCACGGCTACTGCCGGCTCGACCCCACGATAGCCTCCGGAGGCTGACTTTGAGGCACCATCATCGGACGATGTCGACGAGTTGGGTCGCTCTCGCGGTAGCCAGATGACCTCTCATACTAGTATCATCGGCCATGGCCGCAGGAAGCGCGGGGGAGGGCGCTGGGAGCAACACGGAGCTCCGTTGGACGTTTTCAACAGGTCCCCGCCCGTGCGATCTTTGTGCAGGGTTCTTTGTGGGTGTGGTCGGCGGCTAGCCGGGGTCGTCCTCCCGATGGGGGGACTAGCACTAGCCGTCTTCCACATGGTCCCTCGGGTCCCTGCTGCTCCTAATCTCTTCGTACATCCTCCTGCTGATCTCCGCAAAGTCCTGCTCCCTCCCTTGTCTCGCCCTGCGCGTCTGCTCCGCCTCCACATCGTCTGCCCTGCGTCGTCTGGCGACGGGTCCTCCATAGTCGGTTGAGGTCGCCGCCCTCCTCGTGCCTCTTCCCAACGTTCCCTCGGCGGCCGATGCCGTCTGCTACTGCTCCCCAGTCCCCGGGTCTGCCCTGCTCTCGTCTGCGCTAGTTTCTGCTTCGTCCTCACCGGCGTCTCTCCTCTTCCTTCTCCCCTTCTTGTATGCTTTGCACATCGCGTCGATTCCTTTTCGTGTGAGCACCAGCCTGAAGCCCGCCCAGCAGCTGAACCGCTCCCTAAGTCGAAGGAGCATCATCAGTCTCACCCACGCTTTGCTCGCTGCCCACCGTCTCCGCTCCCTCCCGCTTGAGCCCCCGTCGCGGCCCTCGTTCGTCCCACTGGCTGTTGGCCCGTCCCTGCGTTGCCTGCGTTATCCCTCCTCCTCCGCGACTCCCTCAAGGCCGGCCGAGCCTCTTTCCACCCAGTGAAGAGCTTCCTCAGCCACTCTCGATGTGTTCCTCTCTCTTCATTATGCGCGCCGTAGCCTCATCATTGAGCTGGATCCACCTCTGCACCGCTCCCGTCGCCGCCTCGGCCACGACTTGCAAGTTCCTCGTGACCCCGGCGCCAAGGTCCCTCCGACTCTTCTCCGAGAGATCATCTACCAGCGCCGGCAACACCCCCCGACGGCTGGGGCTAGTGCATCGTACCCGTCCTCATCCAGCACCCTATAGCGTGAGCCCTTCAGCGCAGCGACATGCGCTATCCTCAGCGTCTTCAGCGTATCCTTGGAGTCGGGTGCCGCCTGGGCTACTTTGCTGA